TCTGTCTGTCCGTCTGTCCGTCTGTCCGTCTGTCCGTCTGTCCGTCTGTCCGTCTGTCCGTCCGTCTGTCCGTCCGTCTGTCCGTCCGTCTGTCCGTCTGCCGTCCCGGATTTTTATTAGACAGATAATCTCCGAAAGTACTCGACCGATTGTTGTGAAATTTTGTACTTATATTAAGAATATCATGTAGATGGTAAAACGCTATCCAAAATTTGTCTAATCATCCCCACCACTAATGCGATGACGTCACTTCAAAATTGTACATAGTAAATGGGTTTTCAATTGTATAAAATAACATAGTCCTACACATGTAGTTTACAACTCCGAATCGACTTTTCACCCGAAACGTCCAGATTTTTGGAAAAAAAATCAAAATTATAAAACAACATTTTGAAATTTAATTTTTAATCTGCTAACCAGAATGCTTTGAAATGTTGCAGATGTTTTAAGGCTATAAAGAGCATCATAAATCTTTAGTCAAAAAATATTTGCTTATCCCCTCCAAAAACTTGATGACGTCAGCTCAAAAGTTTGTGGAATAAATCATATCTAAAATGTACAAAATATGATGAGTCTGTACTTGTGATCTATCACTCCATTCATATTTTTTGGATCTGCATATACAGGGTGACTCAAAAAAATTAATGAATGCGTAAATATATTTTATTGATTTAATCAGGAACTACAAAACCGAATGCTCTGAAATCTTGCAGATGTTTTAAGGTCATAAAGAGCATAACAAATGTTTAGTCAAAATATATTTGCTTATCCCCTCCAAAAACTTGATGACTTAAGCTCGAAAGTTTGCCGAATAAATCATATCTAAAATGTACAAAATATGATGAGCCTGTACTTGTCATTTATCACTCCATTCATATTTTTTGGATTTGCATATAGAGAGTGACTCAAAAAAATTAATGAATGCGTAAATATATTTTATTGATTTAATCAGGAACTACAAAACGGAATGCTCTGACATCTTGCAGATGTTTTAAGGTTATAAAGAGCATAATAAATGTTTAGTCAAAATATATTTGCTTATCCCCTCCAAAAACTTGATGACGTCAGCTCGAAAATTTGCCGAATAAATCATATCTAAAATGTACAAAATATGATCAGTCTGTACTTGTGATCTATCACTCCATTCATATTTTTTGGATTTGCATATACAGGGTGATTCAAGAAAATAAATGAAAGCGTAAATTTATTTTACTGATTTACTCAGGAACTACAAAACCGAATGCTTCGAAATCTTGAAGATATTTTAAAATTATCATAAGCATGGTAAATTTTTGATCAAAACGTATTTGGTCGTCCCCCCTAAAAAATTTATGATGTCACCACAAAATTTTGCTGAATAAATACTATCTAAAATGTACAAAATATTTTTTTTTTCCTCTCTCTTCTTGTGATTTATCATTCCATTCAAATTTTTTCGATTTGCATATATAGGGTGACTCAAAAATTAATGAATGCGTAAATTTATTTTATTGATTTAATCAGGAACTACAAAACCGAATGCTTTGAAATCTTGCAGATGTTTTAAGGTTATAAAGAGCATAATAAATTTTTAGTCAAAATATATTTGGTTATATTCTACAAAAACTGATGACGTCAGCTCAAAAGTTTGCCGAATAAATCGTATCTAAAATGTACAAAATATGATGAGTCTGTACTTGTGATTTATCATTCCATTCATATTTTTCGATTTGCATATGCCGGGTGACTCAAAAAAATTAATGAAGTCGTGAATTTATTTTATTTTATCGATTTAATCAGGAATTACAAAACCGAATGCTTTAAAATCTTGGGAATATTTTAAAGTTATTATAAGCATGGTAAACTTTTGTTCAAAATGTATTTGTTCATCCCTGCTAAAAAAATTGATGACGTCACCCTTAAATTTTGCTGAAAATTTCCAATCATATTTTTTAGATTTTCTTAAGAGGTGGTTCAAAAAAATTAATGAAGTCAATTTATTTTATTGATTAAATTAAAGGCAACACTTATTATTAGTATTACACCCCAACGAACCCAATTTGGTAGACACAAAATTTGTTAAAGGAAAAACTCTGTTGAAACATAAGGTTAGCACGCTTATTTACATCGACTTTAACATTACAGACCTGCATTTGTTATATGCGTTCACTTGGTTCCGCGAATGTGAAATAGACATGTTTATAATCAACCAATTGTGAATTTCACCGTCAAGAATTAAAATAAAACCCAATGTTTTACATGATAAGCGGAAGTCGAAGCAATAAAACCGATGGTCGTTTTGTTTACAGTTTCTCTGTTTGACTCTCACGTATGCTGTTACGCCTGTCATCTTAAATTAAGAATGTTTATACATACACGATTTTCAGTTGCCTCTGACACGTATACGTGAGCAAATTGTTTCGTTATTTTATTGATTATTACAAATCAATATTCAAAACGACCCAATTCATTTTCCCGAAAATTTGAGAATATAATAATTTTATTCTAAGTATTACACAACATCTATCCCAACTGATATACGTGTCCTTGCAAAAATGTTGATGACGTCATCGCAATTTTTTTTTAAATTCCCACTACAAAAATGTAATGAGAAAAAAAACACAATAGGCATGCAGTCGTCAAGTTTCCGACAGCGAGGGAAGTACTGTCTAAACTCTTTAGACCAATTTTTTAGATTTTCTTAAGAGGTGGTTCAAAAAAATTAATGAAGTCAATTTATTTTATTGATTAAATTAAAGGCAACACTTATTATTAGTATTACACCCCAACGAACCCAATTTGGTAGACACAAAATTTGTTAAAGGAAAAACTCTGTTGAAACATAAGGTTAGCACGCTTATTTACATCGACTTTAACATTACAGACCTGCATTTGTTATATGCGTTCACTTGGTTCCGCGAATGTGAAATAGACATGTTTATAATCAACCAATTGTGAATTTCACCGTCAAGAATTAAAATAAAACCCAATGTTTTATATAATAAGCGGAAGTCGAAGCAATAAAACCGATGGTCGTTTTGTTTACAGTTTCTCTGTTTGACTCTCGCGTATGCTGTTACGCCTGTCATCTTAAATTAAGAATGTTTATACATACACGATTTTCAGTTGCCTCTGATACGTATACGTGAGTAAATTGTTTCGTTATTTTATTGATTATTACAAATCAATATTCAAAACGACCCAATTCATTTTCCCGAAAATTTGAGAATATAATAATTTTTATTCTTAGTATTACACTACATCTATCCCAACTGATATACGTGTCCTTGCAAAAATGTTGATGACGTCATCGAAATTTTTTTTTAAATTCCCACTACAAAAATGTAATGAGAAAAAAAACACAATAGGCATGCAGTCGTCAAGTTTCCGACAGCGAGGGAAGTACTGTCTAAACTCTTTAGACCAATTTTTTTAAGAAAATATCGTACTTTGTCTGCTTCGCCTCTTGGTAAATCACCTTAGTACTCAGCTGTAATCAACCTCATTTCACTCGAGTTAGTAATCTACTAATCCCAACTTAATTCATGTAACATGTTTGGATCACGCCTCGAGTTTAGTAGATGGAATTATCCGAAATCAATATGAAGATGTCAATGGTTTAATTCCCAACGTAAAGAAAGTATTTCTTAAAGCTCAAGCCTTTCAAGAAACCTTGCCGAATTGTTCATTGCCTCCAGAACCGGTTCTGCTAAAATGGGAAACATGGATTGAAGCGGCAATAGGTATATTATTGTGATCATATTGATATAAAAAAAAGTACGTTTATTGCTATTCATAATTTTGCTGTGTAATTATAAATTAAATAAAACTTTTTAGGTTATTGTGAAATTTAATTCCACAGTGTCGAAATGCATCGACGATTGACCATCTTAAAAACAAGCATAATTAGATTAGAGACCACTGGCTGACCTTGAATCAGTCTGTGGATATAGTATAAACGATTCTAAAATACTTCGAGGAAAGCATTTAAAAAGCTGCAAGATACTTGACAAAAAAATATCGGATAAAAAAAGCTTAAATTTCAGCAAATTATTATTACAAAGCGAGAATGTAGAAAAAGTTTTAAAAATGAAATCCACTGAAATTTCTAATTTTAAATATTCTTCTTTAGCATCGTGTGATGTTGAGAGATCATTTTCTAGACAAAAAAGTGTCTTAACAGACAAAATGAAACATTTTTCGGCAGAAAATTTTGAAAAATATTTAATTTGTTATGCAAATTTTAACGATTTAATATTATGATCGCTAATTATTATGTAAAATAATAAAATAAATACAGGGTTAGCATAAAGTCCCGGAACGGTGGAATAACTTCGTTATTTGAAAAAATTTTTTTTTCTGAATTTTGCTTTGGATATATATTTGAACATGGCGACTTGATTACAATTTTTATTTAACATCGAAAATGCCGAAATGTTTTATTGTATTTCAGGAGCGAGGGAGGTTCTGTCGAAACAACTTTCGACCAATTTTTTTTCAGTAGAAATAAACATATTTATAATTTCTGAAATTAGTTTTTTATTCTGCATCAGAAAATGTCAAAAAAATCTGGGTGTTCCAATAAAACAAAAAAAATTAGGCGGCCTTGTGGGTCAAACCGAAAGCCATAATAAAAGGAAAAATAATGTAATCAAGTCGCCATGTTTAACTATACATCCACATCACATTTCTAAAATATAGATCTGAAATATAACCAGACGTTGCGTAAAATTTGTTTTTCCTAAAACAACTCTAAAGCGCCTATTTTGCCATTTTCGTGTCTAAATTCACAATTGTTATAGCTCACTTTGGCTTTTTTTTAGTCTAAAATTCGGTCTTTATTATTATACCATTAAAACACAAATTTGGAAATTTACCAGAGATAGAAATGCAAGTTTTAGGCCTGATGTGTTGTATATATTGATAGAAGCAATGCAAGTTATAATAAATTCGTTAACGATTATTACATACAATAAAAAATAAGCGTACTTGGTAAATTCTGACTGTAATTTTCAACTTACCCGTCAGGAAGTTCACTTATTTATAATCACAAAAACTTTTATTAAATATGTTTACAATTAACGTATCACTTTATTACGGTAATCTTTTAAGTCATCCGTATTACAATAATCAGCATGTTTTTTAATGTTGTTCTTTATATACTATATTCTAAAGGTGGGGATAGCATATCTGATAAGTTGGTGTTATCAAGAGAAAAACCTTCAAGATCTGGAAACTCCAAAACCTGGTAAATGGTTAATTTAATGTTTTCTCCATGGTTTTTTTCCATTTTTCATACGTACGCAGATTTAGATTTATTAACAAAAGTAGCAATAAAGTAAAATAAAATAAAGCAAACAAGAGATCAAGTAGTAATATGTAATTTATGGCGGGGTGAATAGCTATAATATTAATTTAAAACAAAAAATTGATCTAAAGAGTTTAGACAGTAGGTACTTCCTTCGCTGTCGGAAACTTGACGACTGCATGCTATTGTGTTTTTTTTTTTCATTACATTTTTGTAGTGGGAATTTAAAAAAAAATTGCGATGACGTCATCAACATTTTTGCAAGGACACGTATATCAGTTGAGATAGATGTAGTGTAATACTAAGAATAAAAAAATTGGTCTAAAGAGTTTAGACAGTGCTTCCCTCGCTGTCGGAAACTTGACGACTGCATGCCTATTGTGTTCTTTTTCTCATTACATTTTTGTAGTGGGAATTTAAAAAAAAATTGTGATGACGTCATCAACATTTTTGCAAGGACACGTATATCAGTTGGGATAGATGTAGTGCAATACTAAGAATAAAATTATTGTATTCCCAAATTTTCGGGAAAATGAATTGGGTCGTTTTGAATATTGATTTCTTATAATCAATAAAATAACGAAACAATTTACTCACGTATACGGCGCCAGTGTGTAATATCTAGAGAGCGGATTTCTGTCGGGCTAGGCAAGGCCAAACTCGGTACGGCTCGTACGGGATGCGAATTCATTGCGGTTGCGGACTGCACTTCGTTTATTTGAGATTAGAATAACGCTGTTTCATTGCACTCTGCTGTTAATTCCCGTTCTCATTTACTTAGCCGTTTGATTAATAAATCGTTAATTATATTTATGGAATTAGTACTGATTAAATTCAGTGATTATCTATCACCCGCTACTGAGTCCCGGCGATCCAGCGCGTCACCACCTATAATCGTGATGTAGCCCGACAAAAATCCGCTGTCTAGTAATATGAAAGGCAACTGAAAATCGTTTATGTATAAACATTCTTAATTTAAGATGACAAGCGTAACAGCATACGTGAGAGTCAAACAGAGAAACTGTAAACAAAACGACCATCGGTTTTATTGCTTCGACTTCCGCTTATTATATAAAACATTGGGTTTTATTTTAATTCTTGACGGTGAAATTCACAATTGGTTGATTATAAACATGTCTATTTCACATTCGCGGAACCAAGTGAGCGCATAAAACAAATGCAGGTCTGTAATGTTAAAGTCGATGTAAATAAGCGTACTACCCTTATGTTTCAACCGAGTTTTTCCTTTAACAAATTTTGTGTCCACCAAATTGGGTTGGTTGGGGTGTAATACTAATAATAAGTGTTGCCTTTAATTTAATCAATAAAATAAATTGACTTCATTAATTTTTTTGAACCACCTCTTAAGAAAATCTAAAAAATATCATCATATTTTTTGCATTTTAGATAGGATTTATTCAGCAAAATTTAAGGGTGACGTCATCAATTTTTTAGGAGGGATGAACAAATACATTTTGAACAAAAGTTTACCATGCTTATGCGACGAAATTCTGGATGATGGGACGGACGGTCGGGTGACGGTCCGGAATCTCGCCGATAACATATGGGGTGGCGGCGTACTTGGGTGCCAAGCTTTGGGTCGACTAGTATCGCTGATGTCAGTAACACGTCTGGTCGACCAAGCTTATGCGGCTACCTTCACGCCGCCGGGGGTGGCGCCTTCGGTCAGGAGCGGCGGTCGCTCGGGCGCCAGCTCCCTCTCCGGGGGAGGGAGCGCCGGGATGCTCTAAAGCCGGAGACACGGAATTCAGGTGATGAGCCGCCGCGAAAACCCGAGAATAATAAATAAAACGGCAAGAGGATATTTTATAACAAAATAGGGTTTATTCCCTACCACCAGCTACACGGTCTAAAATAATAAAACTTACGGCTAAGCAACTTAAATCACTAAACAACGGTTTTACAACAAAAGAATTAAAGTCCGGCACGGTCGTTCCTCCTGGGCGGCGACTTCCTTCAGGCCGGGGCTCCTCTTGGCTCTCGAGGCGGCGACCTTGAGTTCTGGAAATCGCGCGAATACGGTACGGCGACCCGAGAGGGGAGCGCGGTGACGGTAACGACGCGTGCACGACGGTGTCGACTTTCAACGGTAACAAAAAAACGCGGTGGCGGTGACACGGTTTCTCGCTCGGGGGTGGCGATTCCAAAACCGGTACTAACACGGGCAGACGACCCAAAAAGGTACTTACGGTGGTCGGAGGGTCGAACTGCTCACTTGGTCACACTTCTCCAAACCAAAAACAGCCAAAATCGCCACAGCACTTCCGCACTCTCTGGAGTTGCAGGTAAGAGTCCCCTTTCTCGGCCGCGGCGGCGCGGCGAGCGCGAATTTACCCCCGGCTCTCGCGGTACGCGTTACGGTTTCCGGCCCGCGAAAATTCGCTTCGTTACACTTATAATAACTTTAAAATATTCCCAAGATTTCAAAGCATTCGGTTTTGTAATTCCTGATTAAATCGATAAAATAAATTCACGCCTTCATTAATTTTTTTGAGTCACCCTGCATATGCAAATCCAAAAATATGAATGGAATGATAAATCACAAGTACAGACTCATCATATTTTGTACATTTTAGATACGATTTATTTGGCAAACTTTTGAGCTGACGTCATCAGTTTTTTGTAGAAGATAACCAAATATATTTTGACTAAAAATTTATTATGCTCTTTATAACCTTAAAACATCTGCAAGATTTCAAAGCATTCGGTTTTGGGGTTCCTGATAAAATCAATAAAGTAAATTTACGCATTCATTAATTTTTTTGAGTCACCCTGTATATGCAAATCTAAAAAATATGAATGGAATGATAAATCACAAGAAGAGACTCACCATATTTTGTACATTTTAGATAGGATTTATTCAGCAAAATTTTGTGGTGACGTCATAAATTTTTTAGGGGGGACGACCAAATATATTTTGATCAAAAATTTACCATGCTTATGATAATTTTAAAATATCTTCAAGATTTCGAAGCATTCGGTTTTGTAGTTCCTGAGTAAATCAGTAAAATAAATTTACGCTTTCATTTATTTTCTTGAATCACCCTGTATATGCAAATCCAAAAAATATGAATGGAGTAATAGATCACAAGTACAGACTGATCATATTTTGTACATTTTAGATATGATTTATTCGGCAAATTTTCGAGCTGACGTCATCAAGTTTTTGGAGGGGATAAGCAAATATATTTTGACTAAACATTTATTATGCTCTTTATGACCTTAAAACATCTGCAAGATTTCAGAGCATTCGGTTTTGTAGTTCCTGATTAAATCAATAAAATATATTTACGCATTCATTAATTTTTTTGAGTCACCCTGTATATGCAAATCCAAAAAATATGAATGGAGTGATAAATTACAAGTACAGACTCATCATATTTTTACAGTTTAGATAGGATTTATTCGGCAAACTTTCGAGCTGACGTCATCAATTTTTTGGAGGGGATAAGCAAATATATTTTGACTAAACATTTATTATGCTCTTTATAACCTTAAAACATCTGCAAGATTTTAAAGCATTCGGTTTTGTAGTTTCTGAGTAAATCAGTAAAATAAATTTACGCATTCATTAATTTTTTTGAGTCACCCTGTATATGCAAATCCAAAAAATATGAATGGAGTGATAGATCACAAGTACAGACTCATCATATTTTGTACATTTTAGATATGATTTATTCAACAAACTTTTGAGCTGACGTCATCAAGTTTTTGGAGGGGATAAGCAAATATTTTTTGACTAAAGATTTATGATGCTCTTTATAGCCTTAAAACATCTGCAACATTTCAAAGCATTCTGGTTAGCAGATTAAAAATTAAATTTCAAAATGTTGTTTTATAATTTTGATTTTTTTTCCAAAAATCTGGACGTTTCGGGTGAAAAGTCGATTCAGAGTTGTAAACTACATATGTAGGACTATGTTATTTTATACAATTGAAAACCCATTTACTATGTACAATTTTGAAGTGACGTCATCGCATTAGTGGTGGGGATGATTAGACAAATTTTGGTTAGCGTTTTACCATCTACATGATATTCTTAATATAAGTACAAAATTTCACAACAATCGGTCGAGGACTTTCGGAGATTATCTGTCTAATATAAATCTGGGACGGCAGACGGACAGACGGACAGACGGACAGACAGACGGAAATTGGAGACATATTTCTTCGTCTTCTAGGGGTCATGAAAGATCGAGAAAACGTAAAAGTAGAGAGTCGGCCGACGGACTCGATTACAATACTTCCTTTGCTTACGCTCGGGAAGTAATTATTGTATTCCCAAATTTTCGGGAAAATGAATTGGGTCGTTTTGAATACTGATTTGTTATAATCAATAAAATGACGAAACAATTTACTCACGTATACGGCGCCGGTGAGAGGCAACTGAAAATCGTTTATGTATAAGCATTCTTAATTTACGATGACAAGCGTAACAGCATACGTGAGAATCAAACAGAGAAACTGTAAACAAAACGACCATCGGTTTTATTGCTTCGACTTCCGCTTATTATATAAAACATTGGGTTTTATTTTAATTTTTGGCGGTGGAATTCACAATTGGTTGATTACAAACATGTCTATTCCACATTCGCGGAACCTAGACAGCGCACAAAACAAATGCACGTCTGTAATGTTAAAGTCGATGTAAATAAGCGTGCTACCCTTATGTTTCAACCGAGTTTTTACTTTAAAAAATTTTGTGTCTACCGAATTGGGTTGGTCCAATGTAATACTAATAATAAGTGTTGCCTTTAATTTAATCAATAAAATAAATTGAC